TAGAAGAGAAAAACGTAAAAGGAAAAGAATAGATACTATCAAAATGTAGAGAGCCTAAGTCCGGGAAGGCGAACTTGATTCTTAAACTTTATGGCGGCACGGAGAGAGGAAATCTGAAGCAGTGTTTGCCCCTAGGAACCATTCAACCAGGAGACCAAACAAATTTCTATAAACACGGGACAAAAGAAGCGAGAATCTAAGGAATTAAGATCATGCTTTCTCATAGCGTGTCACATAGTTAAGTATGTACTAATTGGACTCTTTCACAGTTAAGATTCTCAATTTTTTTTCTCCAACAAATAATTCATGATACGCAGATATAGACTCACTATTTGTTCTTGATATGATTGTAGATCGAAACGACATTTTTCAAAAAAAATTTAATATTTCAAGCAGGATGTACACTTCAATCTATTTATGAGAAAAAGTAACATTAAATTTTGGAAATCTTGTGTCGCTGTTACAATGACATTGAAAACACGCGAAAGTGTTTTAAATGAAACTAAATAATTGTTGACATTTGCGGAAGGCTGTAGTTTATATAACCGAAAACAGTACGCAAAAAAATTAGTGAGCACATGGAAACTGTATGCATTTACCTCTCGGCGGGAACAATCTGTTATAATTCATTTTTCCAACCATTCACGTTTTTGCAACACTTTTCAACACACACCTGACAACGAATATACAGCTGGAAATTTTGGTGTCAGCCAATCACAAGCGAACACGTCATTTCCAAAATCGGTAATGCCTGCTTTCGTTAATTTTGTGTTTGATACAAAACTTTGAAGGTTTTTCATACGAGGAAGGCGAGTTGTCATAATGGTATGTGATACTTTATCAACGAAAAGTCTCGGAAGTCTTTTGCGAGATGTTTATCTTCTGCTTTTCTTTCCTCTCACTTACGATGGGAGACAAAGACAAAGAAAAAGTTTGAATCAAAGTTAGATTTATTTTAAATAATTTATCATCCTAATACGATCGATCTCTTATGTTGTTGGCTTGTGACTGTAAAAAGATCAAAACAGCATGATTGTGACAAGCATCTTTTATGATTAAGACAAAAGATTGAATAACTGGCTATATTTCTTCATTGGAATATTACGAAAGAGTAACAAGAGAATGACCTAGAAGCTGTAAAGACAAGAAAACGCAAGTTGAACGTTAGAAATCATGGCTTTCGCGCACTGCGGGAATAGTTTTGACTTCTTGAGTTACTGCAGCGCTGAGGCGGAGCGAACTTGGGTGTGAGAGTTTTTTGAAAAACTTCTATCGCATGACACCTATTTTATATCCAAGGTGATGGAATAAACCAGTTAAGCATTACTTATACTAACTGCACTTGTAAATATTAAGATAAAAAGTAAATACTAGAACTCTGTCGTCTTGTCTCAATTGCGTTCAAACACGTTCCAAACCGTTAAAAACTGAATGAGGAAAAACGTCTCGAAGTCAACATGGTTATCATATCATATCCAAATGTGCGACTCGCAAAATCTGAACGCAAATCATTTCTGCCTCTAAACGCAAATGAGGTGGGAAAATCGAATTGCTCTCGAAAGTGAAAATGTGCATGATGTACTTTGACATCGACATGCCAGAACTAAGCGATAAAGGGTGGCACTATGTAACATACTCAGCAAGATCGCCGGGTAGATATCCAGATGTTTTCCAATGAATGAATGAACTTACATTGATGCAACATAGTTTATTTCGACAAGACAGCGATACCATACCCATACCATTCTCACCGAGTTTACACCGCCTTTCTAAAACAAATGAAAGTTGTCGGTAGATGAAATTTTGCTTACCTCGCACTTCTTCTGTGATGCTTTTGTGAGAATATCTTTAAAACTTTCTGATCCCTCGGCCGCCTTTAAATACACGTGTCCCTTATTCTCGAAAATACAAACTGTACCCGTAGAAAACGAGATAAATCGAAGCGACCAACCACTAATCTACCGCGGGTATATTCAACACTCGCACCATTGGTCAGACTAACATTCATGTGACGCATACAATTCACAATCCGTGTTGTTCAACTTAGGATCCCACTAGGGTGCATTGCACTGCGACGTCACCTTCAACAAATGCAAGGTGTAAATCAAGTGCGAACTGTATAAAAATAAGTTTTTTCCGGTTTATTCGTTGATGGACATCGCTCAGAATAGTTTATTTTCCTTTTTGTGGCTCTTTGATTAAGTCATAAAAAACAGGAGAAGAACAGAATCAGAATAGATTGAGTTATTTAGCGAGTGAGTGAGTTTTAGGTCCATAAATAAAGCTAAAATTAGAAACAAGGAGCACAAGAGGTGAGGATGGAAAAAAAGGGACTGTGATCGTAATTCGATTGAAGTGAATTCCTGTTCACGTTGCAAAGAAGTAGGAGAGGACATTCCCATTGCCTGAGAAGCGAAAAACAAGACAGGCACCAATGCGCTCGTAGTGCGTCACTGACTACGTTGCGGTTTGCAGCTTTAATTTGTTTTTCATTAGCCAAAAGCTTCTTTATACTTCCTTTTGCGATATAAATACAAACAAACAAAGAGCAACAGCTAAGTTCAGCTTTGTACATGGTAAATACGTTGGAAAACATAGTGAAAATTATTTTTCGTTTTGTGCGTCAAAAAGAAAAATCAAATGGCGGTGGCAGTTCCAGATTGCAATTTTATTGCGACTGTAATGAAAACCTTCAGTTTAATGATTTACAGCGCAATTTTTTACAATAAAGTTCATGAAATCGAATCCATATCAATTCAGATCATTCGATAAAACAATGAATAGGCAATAAGTCATTCAAAAATTGCCGATTTATACTAAAAAGCAAGCCATAGTAATTGTTGTTTAAAATAATAATCCATCGTTAGAACATTCTACAGCTTTGGTGAACAAAAAGTATGAGCTATCTAGGGTAACTTAAAGGTATTTTACTGAGTTTCATTACTCAGGATTGTTGAATCGTTATTTTGTCGTGGTGTACGTTTAATTGATTTTCTTTGTTCTAAAATACATTTACGTGCAATTCAGGGCCCTCAAGACAAAAGGTATGCTACCACATTTTTTTTCGTTTTTGTCTTTTGAAAGGTGGAACACTATCTTTCTTTGATGCTTCATGTAGCATAAAAGTACGATCAAAATCAAAATCAAAATTTATGAATGTAAACTGACAAAACAGAAATTGGAGGTCAAAGGAAAAGAAGATGACAACTTCGCGAGGGGGTTACAGTAAGTACATCAGTTTTAAACGTTGGTTTACAGCACCGCACACTCTCAGTAGTTCATCTTCAGTGAATTAAAACTGTTCTCAGGGATATATACAGCAACAAGTATTCTCGCACTTTGCTGCACGTTCGTCACTCCATGTTTAAAAAATTCGAAGGTCAAAGTTGGTCGTTGGGACACGCTTCAGTAGCCGTTGCTAGAGAGGTGCCCTATAAAATTTAAGCAGAGACGGGTGAGCTGAAACACATCCGTACTTACCAATTTTATCCTAAACTTCCTACCACACTCTGAATAAAATCATCCGAATAATCATCAGTTGAGCTCATACACATCTTTTCACTTCGCACTGAGATTCTAAACGAACACTTGTTGCTTAACCCGCAACTTAGCTAAATCATACCGGTTTGAGCGCCAGTTTTCTACGCCACCTATTTCTCTCCGTCATGATCACAGCAGCAATTCTTTTGCTGTGAAGTGATGAATATGCAGGCCCACTTCTAAAAATCCAGTTATGGTTTAGGACCACATCCAGACATTCAGCATTAAATCTCTCTCAAGTCTTGTTTTTATTCATTTTAATTTTGCTTCTTCATATTAAATTTCAACCTTGTGACCAACAGCTGGGCTGTATTTTTCGCAAACTAGGATATTGTTTCTCTGAACTAGTCCTCGCGTCCCCACTTTGAAGATTTAAGGAGCGGTAAATTTGAGAGTGATCGGCATTCAAATTTGGGTATCTTAGCCCTTTCGCTCCCAAGATATCTAGTTAGTATTTCTCCTTATTGTCAGAAATACAATTCTTGAGACGTTAATTCGGAAAATTTGGTATTGGATCAAGTGATAACCCCCTGATTGCTATTGTTCTTTAATTTCATCAATTTGTAAAGCAGAAAGTCTCTCTCAGTGACTCAAGGGAGTTATAGAAAGGTTAACATAAATTATGTGTTTGCACACAATATGACCGAGAAGTGCAGCGAATAGAGCAAACAAATCGAACCACGAGAAGACCTTACAGCACGCCCAACTCAGTCGAGGATAGCAAATATTTTCAAGGAGTGAAGTATACGACGTAAGCACTAGTTACTAAATTCTGAATACTTTTCATCGCTCGATACTGGGTATCCGGAAGGAGAAAGGAGATTTCTCTTGCAGCCCGATAGGTGTGCACTCTTGTACCACAAGCCACCGTCGTTTGTTTTATGACTTTTCATTGTATAACTTCCGGTGTTGAAACCACTCCGCTGTTTTTCTTTGTTTGTTTGTTTTAGTTGTTTATTTTTGTTGGTTTTTTTTTTCCCAAGGAGGCAGGGGAGGCAAACGGTCTTTAAGCGTTGGCGAGCGACAGAACTGTCAACAGATGTGTAAGTTAGGCGTATTTCGGTTTGGTTCATGGTAAAAGTTTTTGTATATTTTTCTGAGTGGGAACTGATGGGGAAATGTGCGAGGACTGTTACCCACTCCCTCAACTTTGGACAGCGTTCAATTAATTTCACATTCAGAAAACGTGCACCATTTCTATTTTGTGCGTAAATTGGCGGTTCAATTTACCTTATAAGTCCTGGTGTTTTCATTCGTCGTTCGGTCTCTAAGAAATATCCCAACACATGCTAAACTTTACCCGAATTTACAAAGAAAAGAGTCGAATTCAGTTTGGTCATGAGTGGGGAAGAAAGAACAAACAAGCAATTTGCCTTTGATTGTTGTTACGTAACACACCATAGCATGTGGCCAAAAATTAGAACGAAGAAAGGAGACAGGTTACTTTTAAATAATCGCTTTTAATAATTAAAAGTTATTTTTGTTTTTGCAAGTTTTGCCTTCTCACTAGGAGGAAACGTAAAAGAACCTGCTTTTACATGAGATTTACCCGAAGAACTGCGCATCGAACATTAACATATACTGCTGCATGCATTTTTATCTTTTGTGAGTTCCTTCGATCAGCAGTTTCGCTTTGTGATTATGTTCTATAACGACAAAAGCCTCTAAGCTGCTCTACACTAAGCTGGATTCGTATAAATCCGAGTTACCAAGAATATCTGACATACGGTTCCCGTTAAGCTTTACATTGCTCATCACAAGCTGTTTTTTCTTTGTTTTCTCTTGTTCCTCGTTCACGGATTGAACGGGCATTGCTGTTCCAGTGTTTCGCGGGTTTTCTGCTTGACTCGAATCGGCGACTTCAGTGTCATTCTCATCGATTGGATTAAGGATGTCGACTCTAGAGTTACTTGGACATGTTACACTTTCTACCTCGGATTCCAACGAATGTGTCATTGAAGTTAAACTACCCACGCTATCAATTCCAGAATCACCGACAAAAATTGCACGAGCTCGCTGACGATTGAATAAGGGAACACTAGCTGGCCTGCTTGAACTGTCTCTTTGTTGTAACGCCTCGTGTCCATTAAATATCACTTCTCCGTCCGTACGTTCAAGCGCTGGTGATGACGCACTTTGAACACGTGCAGTATCCTCGCCAGATGATCGTGAAGTCGATGATGATAACCGGGTAGCTACGGACTCATCAACGAAATGTTTGACAGAGACGTTTTGTACACTAGTCGGAACCGAATGAACAGAAACTGGACGTGTGGAGAGTACTTCCCCGCTTGGGTGTGCTGGATAACTGGGATAGTCATGGAAGATCCCATTAAAACCATCAAGTGTTCTTGGAGGTTCATTGGCCGATCGATACCAACTACCAGAGAGATTCGAAGAGAGTCTACCTAGCGGCAAAGGTCCATTCATTGAAAATAAATCTGGACTCGATACAGATTCAGACTTTTTAAGAAAAGGCGAGCCAACGTGTTCACAAGTATTATTGTTTGGTTGTGTTATGTCACACTGCGATACTTCCGTCATTCTGTCACCATGGTCACCAGTGAAGCTTGGATCAGTTGCTGTGCGACTCATGGTTTCACTTTGCGGCACGTGGACGTAAAGTACACGCCCTTGGCGTCGCTGAGCCAGAAGGCTTTCCATTTCCGAGTCATGAATCAATTTCTGATCCTCAAAAGAAGTGTGCCTTCTCACCGGTTGGCCCCTTGGATCACTCTGGCTAATGTTCGGTGCGGAAAATCGCGGAATTCCCATGGGTTGTCGAAGATTCCCCATTGAACTACCCACCTTCGAAGGAAAGTGGTACGCATCGGCGTGATTGAAGTAAACGGAGTCGCTATGTGGACGGTGCATTACAACCGGTCGGACAAGATTTCCACTCCAGGCGTTGGGGAGGGAGTTTGGTCGTGGCAACATCCCTGGTGTCTCTAAACGGGTCATGTCTACCCCGCTCTGTTTGGGGTTAAAACCACCTAGTTCTTCACTTATTGATGGTAAATTTGAATCGGAGTTTGACGAAATTTGTCGATGACCCAGCGCAGAATAGTGCCCAAACGATTTAGCTTCTGTGTAAAATGGTTCACCGTGACTTGAGAGGGTAATGGACGGGTGCGCTTCAGCACCCATTGCGAAATAAACCGGGAATGTTTCACTTCGCGACCGATTTAACCCTGGATCAAGGTAGAGTTCTTTAGTGCTCGAAATACCGCTGTATTGAGCTCCAGATGATAAACGCCTCTCTATTATTCTTCTGTCTTCTTCATCGAAATGGTACGAACCGTTGACATATCCATTAGGAATGATTCCTGAGGACTTGCTTTTCTTGGAATTTTTTCTTTCCGTTGATATTGCTGGAATACATGAGTTCCTTCGGGTTTCCACGAGTTTCCTAGGTTCTGCAAGCTCATTTTCGCTGTGCTCGATAAGCGGGGAGAGAGTAAATCCGCTTTCGTCGTGCGAGCGTGAAGGGGATGATTTGCGTTTCGACGCCGAGAGGCGGCCTCCAGCACTTGGGTCAACCTGGACTAACTGATCAGGCATATCAAACGTAAATACGGCCTTTTGTCGGACCAGCGGAGAGGATCCTCGTCGCTGTCGGTGCCGATCGCTAATCGTTAATGAGTCGTCAGACATTCTCGCACTCGAGTCGTTACTTTCTATGGATACAGATACCGCAGTTGACTTCCCATTATGATACTCGTCGCGTAATCTATTTACTGGAGAGGCTTTGAATCGCGAGCTGTCATGGGGTTCACTTTTGGATCGCTTGGATGTATGCGTACTCTTAGTGTTTCTTTCATCGACGCCTTGGTAACTATGTCCGTCACTTAAGTCTCGCAAACCATTTTGGACCAAAGATCGACCTTCTTGCGTCTGCGTTGCAGTTCCCGACTCTCTTGCAGCAGTGGGTTGAGAATGTAGATGAGCCACTTCCTCCGGAGAAGACAGCACATTGTCATCGGGATTTTTGCCACTATTTCTTCGACTACTCGTCGCAATAGTAGCCTGGGTTTCAGAGCTTCTACGATCTCCGGTCGACGTTGCCGGGGTCTTACGCGAACCTGTGTCAGTTTGAGCAGATTGGGTCTTCTTGTTTTTCTTCAAAGCTTTATTCTGCCAGTGTTTGGCTGTAAAACCAACAACATACAGACTGCCGCGGCGTCCCATCCGCCCCCGTGGGTTCAGCTTGGGCGAGCCTTGCGTCGAATCTATAGACATGGACTGGTTAGAAGAGGAACTTCTTTGCCGAGAGCACGGCGGGGTTTTCATCTCAACAACAGATGAACCACTTTCAGTATCGCTTCTCTTTGGACTTAGTAGAGTTGTTGCTAAGGACAATTCAGATGCATTTTCAGAGCTTCTGGAGTTTGCATTGAAAGCTGATGGTGACGACTGCTGGGATACACTCTCTGTGTTGGACACTTTCTGTGGTTTATCTTCAACTAGCACTGAACACGAAGGATTACGCTCTACCATTTCTATTTCGATTCGTTCTGCCTCTGGAACTGCAAACAAACTACCTCTCTTTACTGCTTGCCCCGACGTTGGTAAAGAGTTTCTTGGTGATGGAGCAATGACCACAGTGTTTGGGTTCGGGAGCCGTCGCCTTTCCATTGGAGTCGCTCGAGGAGTGGAGCGAATGCTAGGATAAGGTGACGACCAACGGTTTCTACTACCAGGGCGTGAGTCATCCTTTTCCGAGCCATCTTCACTTTCGATATGATCTGCCACCAGTTCCTTGGAAATTTTGGGACTGCTTTGCGTCACGAACGATTGTGCAACCTTGAGCGCGTTAGCAGCACCAATAATCAGCGGTCTCTTCCTCTTCGGCAGCTTGAGTCTCGCTTTTGCATGAGAATAGTACAACGAAAAGTTGCTGACTATCACCGGAACCGGAAGTGCAATCATAAGAACACCACTAATCGCACAAAAGGAGCCCACGATTTTTCCTTCCCAAGATTCCGGTGCCATGTCTCCATAGCCGAGCGTCGTCATGGTGACGACGGCCCACCAGAAGGAGGCTGGAATAGTTGTGAACTTGGTGTCGTGAATGTCTTTTTCGGCGTAATAGATAACACTTGAAAATATCACTACACCTATGCTTAGGAAGAAGGCCAGAAGAAACAGCTCGCTACAACTCGACCTTAAAGTGTGGCCGAGGATTTGAAGACCATATGAATGTCGCGAGAGTTTGAAGATTCGAAAAACTCGAATGAGTCTGACAACACGCAGAACTACAATAGTTTTGATATTGGAAGAGGTGATGAACAAATCCAAATAAAACGGCATGATGGCACAAAAATCAATCCAGTTCATAGGTTTCTTAATAAACTGCAGCTTTCTTGGGCAGAAGATAAGTCGCACAACAAACTCGAGTGTAAACCAAGCTACGCAAATGATATCCGTAACGTAAAGGGCCTGGTACTGAGTGGATGACTTGTCTTCAAAGAAAGGGACACTTTCCAGGCAGAAAGTTATGACGGAGGTCAGTATGAGGATCAGTGTAGTGAATGCAATGGCCTGCGAAGCAAACAACATAATTTAGTATTTGAGACTGAAGAAAAACAGCTGAGAACTCCGCAAGGTAAAGGTATACAGCCGCCGGAAGGCAATGGGCCTAATTGTCAGTTGTTGTTTAGAGAGCTTTTTCATAATAGAAGAAATAAACCTTTTACGTGTTGGTGAAAGCTTAAGAATAATTCTGTGACATTGATCAAGTCGAATAAGCATAGGAAACATAATCGAAGCAAGTCTGTGAGCTTGGGAAATGAAAAACGTAAATGAGCGTGTTAAATACAACAAAGGCCCCAAGAAAAGGGGACTTATAATAGGGACAAAGTTGCAGTTTTCTTTGGAGGACCTTTGTAAATGTTTATGGATCTTAACAATTACTCTATATTTTTCCAGCTTGTCTTTCGCGATGCGAGTTATCCTTCTCCACAGGTGACTATTCTTATTCCTTGCATATCTAATTAAGTTTCTCTCAGTTTAGGATCTCTTATATCTTCCAATGTGTTTACTTCACTTTTCTTTTCCTAATTGGTCCATACGCTTGAACTAGTTACACGGCGCACTGGCGAAAACGAAGAGAAGATTCTTGAGTTAGCTCTCTTGTTAAGTGGTTCACTGCCTCGGGGAGAGACTGCGAGACGGCATGACTCGGGGGAGTCACAATCTTTCTGCATAAAAAAATGAAGGCGAGCCTCGAGGATTTTTCTTGCTAAAACATCCGTGAACGGGGCCTTCATGATTCCTGCAATTTTCGCGGTATTTTGCTGTCTTCATTGTTGGTGTTTGATTTATAATCTACAAACTCACAAGAGGTTTTCAATTTTGCTGATCCTAGTAACAATAATGGCTCAGCTCACCGCAGAGTCTTTGTAGCTCAATGATAGTGCGAAGTTGTGCGGAAACTAAAGGTCTAGATCCTCACGAGGACTCAGAACGAAAATTTCTTCATTTCATAGCACCGAACTTAAAATTCACCATATTTAGGAAAGTTCTCGTTTCCTTTTCTACACATCAATCAGGTTCGCCATTTCACAAAGATTTTGTGACATTTCAACCTGTTATATAAGTGATCTCGCTCGAAACAGCTTCGCTTTAAAACGTTAAAACCCCGAGACAATTTTGCAAAAGATCAAGACTGCGATAAGGAAAAAATGGTTAAAAAGTGAGTCCGCGAGACGCCAAAATTTTGACTAGACTCTTTCAAGGCTAAATAGAAGTTACAATTGGGTACATGGGAAGACAGAAGGGCAATCATGGGATTTCTCCGGTTTCTAAAAACTGTAGTCGTCTAAAATTTGTTCTCAATTTCAGAAACAAGTCATTTACGTTTTTCTTCGCTTGTTTATACAGGCAGCAATATACATATACATTGGTTTGTGCAGCAGTCAGGCCATACTAAATCCAATACTCTATTGTTGAGTGGTTGTAAAGCAATATATCACAACAAAGGCAAAGTAGATTCTCCTAATCTCGTCCACGTACGACTATTCTATCGAAACACCGCAATACGTAACTTTAAGAAAAACAATTGAGGAGTATCGCCCCCTCAGTAAAAAATTCTGTAGATCATGACTTGACGGCTGGCGAAAACTTGTTTGTTGTTATTATGAAAAAACCATTCAATATCGTGGGAGATTTATGTCACCACAAATTACGTCAGACAAGTAGTCGGAAGGTTTATATCTATTAATCAAACAAAACAGCAACTATCTCCTTGTGACAAAACCGATTATATTTTTTGTCTTTTGAAGCTTTCTTCTTCAAATTAAACATAGTTTTGACAGTGCGTAAACTTACTTTTAGCGCTTTGATAAAACAAATGAAAGCTCAGCCATGTATTAAGAACGATTTTGCTTAGATTCAGTCAAGCTTTACAACACATGTGATTCTATGATTCTTATCCAGGTCACGTGCAGTATTTTCAACAAATAAAAAGCATGGGTAATAATTTCAGAAAATCAATTCCCAAACCGGGAATATTGGTCAGAAAATGAAAGCCATAGGTCATTTTCCAATGTAGATCCTGAAATTTAAACCCGGCTCGCTTTTCTCGAGTAGTGTACGAATTACAATAATTGTGCACAAGAGTCTTTCAGTGAATGAACAAAGAAAATAAGATGAAAAGGAATTTGATAAAAAATTTTCCACTTAAGCCTTTTAGGTTGGCAAGAGAACAAAAAAATAATTAAAAAAAGAGACCGTTTAAGACATGTTTTTGGCACTTATAGAACGTCAAGCGTTGCGACAATTCTTGACAAAATTTCTTTGAAACCAAAAACTAATTCCACACAATTAGCAATGACGACAAAAACTGCAGGATGCGATCGTGAAACCATTAAGTACATTGACGAGTGTTTTACAAAATGAGTATAATGAAAAAATCAATTAATAAGTTGTAAAATAGGTCAAATTTCTACTTATGAAACCACAAGGGATGACAGAATGAAACGATAACAAATTGAGTTTTTCGATGCAAGGGAAAAAAAGACCAGAAAACTCTCGAAATAATAGGTTATGGCGCACGATTCCGAGAAACGTTTTGACTTAATTATATCAGGACAAATGGCTCAGCTGAAATTAAAAACGTTTATACTCAGCCGTTACTTAGCGTTGACTGAAATGAATACAAAATTTTCAATTTCAGTCATGTTGCCGCCGCATTTCGATAACATTTAATTTTCGATTCTTAATAAAAAGGATCTTTCGCGAAATTGTGTGGTGATTTGTCTTCGTTAGTTAATGCAAAGGTGAGATGTAAAAAGATTAAGTCAAATCCCATCGATATTCAATCGAAAGACTGTAAACTGAAAACGAAGCGCAATGCAACTCACCGTGGGACTTTGAGAATCATTCCTGCTCCACATTTTAAGCAAAAATTGCAACAGATTTTTACTAAACAGAATTTGAAGAGATCACAAGATCAACCAGAAATGCAAAGTTTACTCGAAAAACTTAAAACCAAAATGGTAACATTTGTAAAGTAAACACGCGTTATCTTAAGTTACTGAGAAGTGTTTGAAACATTGTCCTTTCCCTATTTATTTATGTTGTATACAACGAACTGAGGCAGCTTTTTGCTTGCTGAAACCTGCTAAAATTACGTTCGTTCAGTGTTGTTGGTTTTTAATCTTTGCGTTAATAATTGCCAACTTCGGCAATTTACCTATCGTTTGAAGAAAATGTTCGAGAAAAGCTGTTGCCTCAAAAGGTTATGAAAACCAGAGAGATTAATTTTCAGCGAATAAACCGATCACGTAGTTCTATGATGAGACAGACACTTAACGCATGCGTGGATACGATCGAAAAGAAATTCACCACCATCGCTGTCATGTTCCATTGCTAAAATACTCCGTGAAAACAGCTTATCAGACTAGATCGGAAAAATATCTTCGAGGGCATGAAACGTGTTTGTCTAGCTTTATTTTTATTTTTCCTATTCTATAGAACTCACATGTTTCAATAAAAATGACGAATTCAAATTTTGACGATCGCGACGTAATAACACACAGCATTTCGTATTTTGAAAATTTACTATTGTACCGAAGACGAAACAGTCATCAACCAAATGCAACTCTTCCATTTAAATACTAAAAAGTGTATTAAGGAAAAGTTTGAAAGTTCAAGATGAGAATTGACGCAAAAAACCTCAATCTGAGATTAATTTCCACCTCCACTGTTCCCCCGGCCACCTGCCAAAGGCTGATGAATCAGAGATATTACTTTCAGTCTGCGGCCACTAATATATTTGTTATTAATGTGAGTTTTCCCCTCTGGTTGATCCTTAAACCGCCGTGAAAAAAGAACGAAAATTTTCACCGAATGATTCACGAAGGATTCAATCAAGGCCGAAATTCAATCAAGGCACGCGTTAAAGATTGTTTATTCGAGAGCGATTAACTATAAACACAGCATCAATTCTATTTTCCCCATTCAAAATCGTTTTCTCGTGTCTGCGCACTGAATCACAACAACGTAGCGATGATTCCCGATTCGTTTGTAAATCGGCGCCAAGAATTTAGGTTCGCGGTTACCAGAGGGCGATGTCAAAATGAAGATAAATGGAAAAGCAAAATGGAGCTCAGGTAATCCGTCACGTGTCGTGCTGTCGCTTTCAGTTTCCTCGAATAATACTTAAATAAAATAATCGCACGAGAGATTCTTTTAGTGGAGCGTTTATCGAGCAGGTCTCTTAGAAACCAAACTGACCTTAGTAAAATCATTTCGCAGCCACATTCATGGGTGTTTTTACTTGAATTTTTAGACGAGATCTAAATAAATAAAATGGCCAAGGCCTAAAATGCATTTGCACAAAAGCGTCAAGCGGAGCACACAACTTCACGAGCGATTCGTGTAAAATTAAACAATATTGACAATACTCATGCAAAATGAAGCGCAAATTAGAAGCATGTTTTTTTCTATTACACACGTTCGTGTAACTTACCTGGGCCAGCCGAGACGAATACGGCTCCTCAAAAGTGGTCCAGACTTTCGGTTGAATTTTTTTCCAGAGAGTACGGTTCTTGTTTCTAATGCTGTCGGCGACGAGCCCGTACACCGTCATATCCATGTCTGAAAGGCTGTCCCTGTCTGAATCATGCCCGTCCAATGTGTCCAAATTCGCCTGGGCTTCGCGATGTTTCTTATAGTTCAACCAGCAACATGATTCAACCTGTAGCTCGTCGATTCCCCAAAATGCAAGCTCCTCTTCAAAAAGCGGACCGCACACATCATTGGGGCAATGAAGTTTTCCCGTGCGGTAGAAATTTAAGATCTGCGTAAAGACCGTCGGATGGCGATCAAAGAAATACTCGTTGGTATTTGGGTCGAATTCGGGAAGTTGTGTCTTGTTTTCCGTGATCCAGGACAGTCTAGTGTCAGGGATGTTTTTTAGAGTAGTAGTGTAAGTCTCGTGTCTAATACCACCGACGTTTATAACCACTTTCTCGTTAGCTCGAGGATCTTCAGGGGAAGAGAGGCGAATTTCTTTCAATGACATTGCTGGCAAGGTTATGCTATAATCCCGCTCTTTGCATCTTATCGTTGGCAGAACACCTAAGAAACCCCTTTTTCGCTCAGTAATCGCACCACGCAAACCATAAGTAAAAACCGAATTACTCAGCACAAAGAGGCATGTTGGTCCAAGGCTACATCATCGCATAGTAACGAACACGACGGCGCGTCTTTTCGATACGAAATCCGCCCGCGCTACTGCTATTTGCCCAGATCTCGAAGATTCCTCCTGCTCAACTTTCTAGTGCAAACTGTCAATAATACACACCATTAATTGCGCTCCGATTTTCCGAAAAAGTAAATGTTGCACTTCTTTCCAAAGTGTGAATGCAAATTCGATTTCGTCGGCACAAAACTCGGAACTAAAGTGGATTTTGACAGATGGTGAAATAAAAAAACCTTTATGCTGTGTGACCCAACTGAGAGGATCACTCTATACAATTTCCATCAAGCTCGCTGTTTTCCCCCTGCGGTTTCACAAAAAATATTTCCTCTTCATACAGAAACCATAAAATGTTATAAACAACATTTCGAATTTAGTGCGCACGCGTTGTCACTGGCCACCTGCTTGCAAACACGAACAGGAAAATATCGGCGAGCTGTTCTCCAATTCTATGGATCATCTACGAAAATAAGTTCCGTAGCGCATCTCCAGTTAAAGGAAATTTTTATGAGGTACGGAACTAGCCAAACAATGCGATCATCAAGGTTAAAAAATGGACAATATCAGCGTAGGAAGAGAGAAAAAAGGCAGCAATTTATTTCTGTTTATCGCAGCTAATGCCTAAGGGTGTGTCGACAAAGTGACAGTAAAAGGCTGTACGGAGAAAGACGGCTTCTTTAAAAGAAAGAGCATTTTTACGGTTCTGACAAGGCAAAATGACAATACTTCAGAACGGCGTGACGTAGAAGCGCGCAGTTGAATGCAATCTACGCATGGTCAAGACGAACGGCATCTGGTAAATATTGTCGTATGCAAGAGGTAAAGTCTTGAAGATATACGATGCTAACCTTTGTCTTCAACTTACATAGTTCTTAATGTGAAAGCGAGTTCAATATCAAGTAGTTCAGTATCAGTAAACAATGCTAACCACAGCTCAAGAAAGACAAAGCGAGAATTCTCCTTCTTCGTCGGGGTTGGCCAACGAAAAGAATTCTCAAACAGATGAAGCAATTACGCAATTTAGTTGACGCTTTACTAATTAAGCTCCCTCGCGACGGGTGATCAAGCAAGGATATTAAATACGGCGAAAATCATTTCGTTCTTTTTAAAATGTTAGAACGAATCTTAGGTAACAAGTTAACGAAAGCGAAGCTAAAAAACATATATTTACCTAAATAAAAATTCAGAAAATTTAAACAAAGTAGAAAAATGCAGATGATCAAGTAATTGGTCACCAAATCCCTCTGATGTCACCTTCGCCTTCAATTAAGAATTTGTCTTTTGTGCTTGCCTTCAAACAGTTTCTTTACACCGGCGATCAAAATTTGAATATTTATAAGAGATTAAAATAACTCTTTTAAATTGAAATAGAATTTGCAAATATTGCTGGAAAACAGTCACGGAGATTTATGCATCCACGATGTTAAGTTATAGTTTCCGCTTGAAACAAAAATAAGGCTTCAAAAAAACACAAAAAAAAACTGGCTAAAACGCCTTGCCGACTGACTAAAGAACATAATATTTGATGCAATACCTTTTGAATTTTTTTCTTCCGGGTAAAAAATTTGGAAGACGACTGATACATCGGTGTGTTTCATCGCATTTGAAAGCAACTTGGAAATTTAAGGAAACTAAAAAAGTAAAGAAATTAAGTAATATGGCAGCGCGTTTCGAAAACTCTCCTTAAGATTACTCACTGATAAAAGTCTTTCTTCTATTTGCTTTGCAAGTTCAACTGTCAGTCTTTGCAATTGACGCCTCTAAGAGCAATCAGTTTTTTAATGGAAAAAACCATTAAGTGTGATGCAAGCCTCTTGCTTATATTAGTTATTATCGCTCGAGGCTTATAGTGCGAGCAACCGTAAAATCGCACGTTTCTAATACTTCAGGTGAAAACTAGGCGACTCAACACCTCGTTAGTGAGCTCTTAAACGCCTTTGATCGCGTCGCCAGACCGCGCTTTACGCGTTTTAATCTAACGTAATTATCGCATAATAGGTAGCTAAGACACGTGCCATGCAGTCGAGTTCTGGCCAGCAGGTTCATCATAGCTAATTTAAATTCAAATATTTAGAACCGAGTTGCTCAATAATAATAGAAGCAATCTATCTGACTCGCAAGTAGAAGTTAGAAGTTGAAGTTACGAGCGCAAGTCGAAGACATTTTCCTTGCAGCGATCACGCATTAGTTCCAGAGAGTAGTAAAGTAAATCGCCTTCCTCGATGGTTACTTGCACAACCCCTTTTGGAATTACTTACAACTTCACATTCCAAATAAATACTATCTCGACTTTTTTCCCTGCGCCAGCGGCTCTCTGACTTTTCTTTTTTTCCCTGCTAACTTACCCAGTTTTTTCCGCGCCAACTCGAACGTCTTTTCTAGAATTCGCTTTCATTACCCTAAGTTTTCTGTACATTCTTTCCCGAGTCCTTTACCACGCGTTTACCGTCTAAATTGCGAGACTTAAACACGACCTTAATGAGTTTCCCACGCTGACCTCAACAAATATTACCGCGTTCTCCTATGTTCTCTGTGTGCAGTGCACGATTTTCAGCCATCTTTTACCCAGGGTCTTACGTTAACTTAAGCGACTTTTCCCGTCTTTTTTTTTTTATTTTTTTTTTATTTTTAACCCGCTACCTGGTTACAAATCTCCAGTGAATAGCACTATTTTTTTCGAGTTCAGTTTATGACCTTTCCTGGGTTTTCGTTCCAGTGTTCTAATTTAGTAATTCTGCGGATTAGCGATTTTTCGTGTGTTTTTGGGGACAAATTTATTAAAAATTTCCACTAAGAACTAATTTTTGCAATTTACGGTTCTAGCAGCAGACAATTTACAAATAAAATGCACGAATATAGCAAATAATTTTACTGGTCGAGTTTTTCAGAGGGAAGCTACACGATCAAATGAATATTTTCAGTGAGTCGCAAACGAAGACTACTAATTCACTCATGATTCGCATACGGAAGTGTGCGATTCGCAGACCGAAGGAAGTAAATTTATGCAGCGATGCATATTCCAGGATATTTTTTTCTGGGTGGAAACTTACTTTTAACAGATCGAGATCAATTTGAAAAAAAAAAAAAACTAAACCCGCACAACTTTTATGCCTCACGGTCCTTGCACGCCATTTTTGTGACTTTTTTTTCTGCAGCACTTAAAAGCACTAAGCATGTAAATGTAAAGATTGCGTAATCAACTGAAAAGTAGAACACCATGTTACGCAATACTTCACCTATGACTCGAATGACTTTTTTTTTTTTTAATGAATAAATCAGCCAACTACAAGCAAATTAGACGGGAAACGCAAGTTTGACCGTAAAGATAAAGCAGGGCACGAAAGCTTGTAAACGAACCCCACTTAAAACGCCCTCTTCTTGTTATCGGAAAAAAAACGAGTAGCGAAGCAAAAAGGTGACGCTGTGGTTGAAAGGGGCGGAATAGAATAAAACTCTACGATTAATCTTATCATCAAAATATGATCAGATCTCGTTAATTTGTTTCTGTGACCTACGTTGGTCTCCTCATAAAAACAGACCGGAAGATCCGGTTTTTTTCCAAAGTATTTTTACAAGATTTAATCTTTTTGATTGAATGACTTGCATCCTGTTTGTGTGTACCTTTCTCTCGATTTTCATTCGGCAAGACACATAAATGAAAAATAAAGCCTTAAGGAAATAATCAGTGGCTAAGACAGCTTTCCAACACATCATTTGGGATAATATTACCTGAGCAGGGGGCCAACTTTACTTTCACAAAAAACGCGAGAGCAATCACAAAACATCATGCAATTCTTCAAGTTCAAGTTCAAGCTTTCACGTCTTGACTGAGTACAAAATAAAACAAAACAACAGCGTACAAAAACAAACACACACACACACAAAACACAAACACAAATCAAAGCAAAAAACTAACAAACGAACCAAACACAAAGTCCGCTAAGAAAGAATTTAGACTCGGGAACCATGCAAGTTAGTGAGACGAAATTTTCACCGTTTCACTCCAAGGAATGACCGAAAAGCAATTTCTTCTTGAAATATCAATATACTATCTAGCTGACTGGCAGTGATAATAAAAAATGATGATATTGTTATTCTTTTTATTTTGTTTTTGGACAGGAGGACCATTGATACGTACCTTTAAAAACACCAAAACAAAAGTGTACGGCGAGGAAAAACACACATATGTGTACTTAATTAAACGTGGGAATTTTACAAACATCGCTATCTAAAGTTGAAATCAAAAATGTTTTGGAAACCGTGACTAGTCTCTCCACTGAAAAGGAACTGTCGTAGACAGAAAACCGTCCAACTCTAGCTGTAATCAGCCAACAGAAGCTGAAAGCGAAAGATAAGAAACTGGGAGACGTTTTCACTTGTCCTTGAGAGTTTCAGGACCAATCACAGAGCGAAGTATAGCAAACCGAATGCAATACTAAATTACTTTCAACACCAAATTGAAAATTGGAAACTATTGTTTCCAAGTCCTTCTTCTATCATTATTAACAGACTTGAAATCATTAACTATAAAATATTTACTAAAAAAGGGGCGCGTGAATTCGCGAAAAACATTGATCCTTGTTTGAAGTGAACCTTCAGTCTCTTTACTTTGCAAAGACAAGCCAGGGAACACTGGTCGATGTTTCAGGGCCAACAACAGTTTGTATAGCTTTCAGAAAAAACAAAAACGTATGTTCTGTAAACACCAATTATAGTATTTGAAACTCTGTTCGTTTACAAGCTGTGTACACTCTAGATCCTTTTTTTCCCCAAACTGATTTTTCTAGATTGCAATGTAGGGTTGCTGTTGTTGTTTTTATTCGCTTTATCCAGATTTTCATTTTTTTAATACAACAATAAGACCTGTGTCATTATCCGAAATTTTGACATAACCACAAATGGAACCGAATCCCACGCAATATTGGTTAACAAGAAAGTTGCCAGAGAAATAAACAAGCCGCGAAATTATTCAAAAATTAACATGAAAAAGAAGTTTGACAGATCGGAGAAAAATTTGAAGGCACATCGAACTTAATATAATGGACATCTGCACGCAATGAAAACAGATCCGATTTTCTTGTGACGACATAAATAATCCCCTTTACAGTTCGAACTTATATTCAACTGAAACAACGAGATGATCTAAGCTACATCTATTTTGTAACTTTTACACAAAATTTTATTATGCAAAGTGTTTTCTTTTTTCCAGCCACGAAAACCTAATTTTGAAAACTTGAAATTATTTCGATATCTGTATGGCCGGGAAACCTTCTACGCATGTACGTCTGAGGGTGTGAAATGGTACCCTTGCTCACATTAACACTCTTTCAACATAGTAAAGTTGTATTGTCTTCCAGCACCAGGCAAGTTTTCTTGTGAAACGTGTCTCAGTTTCGATGCGTAATTACGACCTAATTGGTATTTTCTACAGCAAAACCCCCGTTCTGAAATTTTTTACTCAACCTCCCAAAATTATGTCACTTTTCCCTTCCAGTTGCTCTAAACTGATTCCTTGTAAATTAGAGAAGATAATTTAGTCCTCCATCGCGACAACATTCGCTGACTTCCAAGTATGTGCATTATTCGCCATTTACTATTCACTGTTTCATTAAGGGGACGTTAATCACTTCTGGAAAGGAAAGGGGCGGTTAGCAAAGCTTACCGAGTTTTCGCGCTGGCAGCGAGAAATCAATAATGCAACGTCAAAACGATATCTGCATTCAAAAAATGTTACGCAACATACTTAACGGCTGTTTCAAGGCTTTTCACAAAGTAGGAAAAGACAAAAACACTTGCCAGACAAGTCGCAATAAAAATGGACGCCTGTTTTAGGAAGTACAAGTGATGAATAAAAAGAGAAACAAAAGAAACGACTTTTTATTGCTTTTCTGTTTATCATAATAAACCTTGACCTCTTTCATAAAGGAGCACGACAATGTGTCTAAAAGAATAGAAATTTCGCTGAAAGTTCCGACGATACCACCCACAATGGCTGCCGCAAAGGAACAAGGTGAGCAACCTCTTACGTTTTTTCAGTTTTTAGCTTGCTGATACTTACGTTAAATTGCCATTAAGACGGGCTTTTCGAGTCAAAGGCACGCCTTTTCGTGTTCCCAATTCACAACTAATAAAAGCGAAGCCTTCGAGCGGAAAACGAACACATTCTATCGAGAATTATTCAGTATTCGCAATTTAACAAAATGGCAGCACTTAGCGGCTGATGGCTTTTCAAACACAATTTTTACACAGTAAAAAAGGAAGTGGTTAGTCATCGGGCTGAAACACAACAATAATAAAAGTTGTAATGGTTTTACAAAATTAAAAGCACTTAAAATCTGGCAGTAGGCGAACTTGGCTGATGATGTACCAAGGTCACTAGAAATTATTTACCCTTCAAACGAGGAAGAGTGGAGTTCATTGGTCATTAAACGATTCCATTTTAGCATGCCATTTGCCAAAAATTACCAAAACAAATGCAAAGTACATTGCAGGCTTCGAGCGCCTCTCGACAGCTGTGACTTCTTTTGAAGCCTTGAAAAGGAGGCACAGACCAACATCACGAAAAAGACTCAAATATCTCTTGCGCGCCATAAATCGCTACTCTTTTATATTTCAATAAATGGTGCAGGAATTGAATGCCTCACAGAGTCATCTCGTAATCAAGACGTTGAATATTTGAGCGATGTATGCTTCGTTTCAGTACGAGGCGCCTTTTACACCCGAGTCGGAATATTTTAAGAGACAACCTGAAAGTCCTTGACTATTTCCTTTTTTTCTTTAATGCACAGTAGATGTACAATAAAGATGACACTCGCCGTATTTACTTCAAACGTGAGCAATCCACAGTATATACTCCAAAACAACCACTGACTGCTACCTTGACTGTTCCCTTGGCTGGTGTCATTCTCCGCCGATGGTGCGCATGTCCTCAGCTACCGCGCGGGTCAAAAATCCAGACGGTTCTTGGTGACCATGGACTGGCACGAGAGGGATCCAGGCTTCCCTCGGACTGAATCTTCCTGCGTCCTATTCGCTGTTTCTGAAAGTTCTGGAGGAAGGTGAAGCTTCTGAGGAAACATTTCAATGAAAAATGTTTATTCGTGGTTAGCTCACGTTATTCAATCATCATACAGCTTCCAAGATCTGAATTGTGATTCTCCCCTCTGGCTGGTACACATTTCCTTGGAACTTTGTCACGAGAATTTGGTCTTACACCAAGATAACAACTTTCATCAGATAAGTTTGAGTGTTCTCATTACCCTTTTGCTGGATAATGTACGGATATTATAGAGAGAAGCTGGATGTTAATCACTTCATCGACGAGGCATGGTCAACCACGCATTAAAATAATACTATAATACTATAATACTTAAATATTGGAATCTTTATCTTCAACGGTATTCACCACGATATTCCCTTTAAGAAACCCGCCATAACAGAGAAAGAAGCTCAAAGCAATTGAATAAGTAGGTAGAGATATATTTAACAAATGGTAAACACCACAGCGTACACTATTGAGTTATGGATGCACGGGGGAGGTTGCTAAGCACGAAAGAAGCGTAAGAGTCGCTCGAGGCGATAGCCGAGAGCGACTCTAGCTTCTTGAGTGCTTAGCAAACCTCCCAAGTGCATCCATAACTCGATAGTGTACGCTGTGGTGTTTACCATTTGTTTTATAACATAACATTAACACATTGTAGCTAAAGAGTTCCCTTTTGTTTAACAAATCTTACGTGACCAGAAAAAAACAAGCGCGCGCGGAAAAATAGTCTTTGCATTTGCTCACGTCAGCAGCGTACACCCATGGGCAAATGGGGGACGCTAAATTGACCAATCAGAGCGCGCGCTTTACTTTGGTTATGTTATAAAATACAGTTGTCAAGGAGACCAAAAAGGGAAAGCTTCGCCATTGCTCATCGACATTGACAGGGATCCCGTGCGTGTCTACAGAAGCTACGGTTTTAGGCGAGACACGATCAGTTTCCTGCACTTCCTCTGCGCGCTAAGGACCGCGCGAAAAAAAAAAAAACTTACCCGAATCAGACAAACTTTACTGGGGTGTTCTGTTTGAGACCTACCTCAATAGTCATCTTCTTTCGCCTCAATTTGAAAGCGAGGTCGAAAGAATCTGGCATATGACACACCAAGGAGTTCAAACGAGGCAAGCGAACAATGTGAAAGAGACCTATAAATCAAAAGATGTCACTCATTTAAACTATACTTTCCTCGAGAGATGCACTGATATTTACAACCACGCGCTGCTGACCACGATTCAAACAATTCTCACAATTGACTTCGTACGGACATCAGTTGCACTGTTTCGCGTACTAAAGAAGTTTCCCTCTAACAGAGAGAGTTTACACATTACACTGATGTTTGTCTGGCCTCACAAGGACAAACAACTGTTCACCGTGAGGTTCTCACATCTACATTAGTTAACCCTTTGACACCTGTGAGTGACAAACGTCTTATTTCTCCTCACAACATCATCCTTGAATAATAATAATAATTTAATATTTATATTGCGCAAATTAATATATGGATATGATCAAATGCGCATCACAACACTTTTCGGGGGATTTTGGCCGGACTGCATCAGCAGTTTACAAACAATGGAAGGAAAGTTATTTGAAGATGCCCCCTCCCCCCAACTCCCATTAAACAGGCCACACCACATCATAGTAATCTCGTGAGTGGGTTCTTTAACGTCCCCTGCCTAACCAAATTAATTAATTAATAGATGCAGGAGAAGGGACCTACGGTTTATTCGTCCTTATCCGAGAAGACTAGAATGTCTAGCCATTTCTTGATATTATAGAAAGGTAGCGCATTTTCCTCAGTTATTTTAAGACCTTGAGCGTTGGTCCGGCCGGGGCTCGAACCATCGACCTCGACCTCCCGCACAACAGTCCAGCGCTCTAACCAATTGAGCTAACCGGGTCACGAGAATAAAGGAAACTATCACCAGCTAAACTAGCTTTTGATTTTTACACAAATTTTCCTTGTCAATACTTTAGAAAATCTATAGAGGACAGCATGGAGAATATACATACTGACGTTTGGGTCTAAAGGGTAAAATAATGTATTCAGTTCAAAGAATACTTACCATGATAGTCTTTGTAAACTGGGTTCGTTTCATTCTCAGAGCCGGTGAATGATTCCAGTTTGACTACCGTGTCACAGAATCTCTCTACACGCCGAGTGAGGGCTGGGTCCTGCTGGGCAGTTGACAAAATCGAGTCAAGATTATGAAAATCTATGAACTGGTATCGTTATTGGGGAGCAATGTTAAGAAGATATCGTTGTCTCAAGGATTCCACACTTTTATTCCTCTGTGGATTAATTTCACGTCTGTACTGGTGAAATTTGTGCAAAGTGCAACAGTTCATCTGGTCTGTTTCTATGCACGAAAAAAAAAATTTCAGATGCAAACGAGTGCTTGCGTGTTTCCCTAAAAGAAATGTGTAAACAACACAAGATCGATAAAATACTCAAAACTAACTTTTGACTTCAATTCTCGTACGTAAATGACAAAAAAGAATTCATGACGCCGTGAGTTATTCTATTGCTTGCCATCATAACTCCGCAGAATGCATTTGCTTCAAACATGTGGCGCGTCAAGTCTAAGAGTTACGTAATAGCTAATCAGGCACTTAAAAACTCAACGCGCAGCGCCATTTTCGTCAAAGTACATTTTATTTCCACGATCTAATGGCCAGTAATTTATAAGTGCAGAAAAAAAAGGTTTAAAACTCACAGGGAAGGGTAAATATTTAGTTGAGGTTGATAATTTTTTTCTTGACGAATTTTTTTTTTCAGTATATATATATATATATATATATTTTATTTCATACTTAAACTAGCCGGGTACTCTGTATAAAGTAGACGGGTGCCAGTACCCGGGACCCGGCTTCTGATGAAAACCTTGAACAAGGAGCGTGCCGAGTTCCACAACTACCCACTAGAGGGATTTACTTCTCAACATTTCAGTGTTCAACAGCCATCAAAGACGAGTGTTCTCGCCACGGCGCTAAACCTTGCTAATCAGACCTTTTTTTTTTTTTTTTCAAATTCAGTGTTCAACAGCCAAAAGTCAACATTTCAGTGTTCAACAGCCATCAAAGACGAGTGTTCTCGCCGCGGCGCTAAACCTTGCTAATCAGACCTTTTTTTTTTTTTTTTTTTTTTTTTTTTTTTTTTTTTTTTTTTTTTCAAATTCAGCCAATTGCGCACCTAGCCTGGATACGATGTAGGACTCTGTTTTTAGGACTTTTCTCTCATGAGAGTTTTAAGCGCACGGTGTCCCTTTCGCATACATTTTTTACATGGACAAGCTGTATTTAACATTCTACAGACATCGATTTACTCAAAGTTTAGTTTTTTTTCTTCTGTTACCTGAAACAGATGGGTGGGGACCGTAACAAAGCAGACTGCAAAAGAAGAACGGAGTGTAGCCCGTAACTGGAAGAGAAACCTTGTCAGAGTGGGGTTTATTTCATTGCCAGTGTGTTCCTCCTCTCCCCAGAGTGGAGAGCCAAGACCGTGAAGAACTATTCTGAGAATTGTTCTGTTCTCAAGCTGAGAAAATAATATCATAAACTGTGTCATAATCACTTTAACTTTATATTCTATACAAGGCTAAAAGATTAGGAAAAAATTAAAAGGTTTGAACGAAACGTTTTCGGCTGTTTGCCATCATCAGGGTGATGATGGCAAACAGCCGAAAACGTTTGGTTCAAACCTTTTAATTTTTCCTAATCTTTTAGCCTTGTCTAGAATATACTTTACAAAGCGAACATTATGGACACTTCAACTTTCTCGGAACGTATGTCAGCACAATAAAATCCCGCTATCTCGCCCCATGTGCGTCGACACTTTCTGAATTGAGGCCACGTTCTTGGGACGTGCATTTGATTGTAAATGCACTGTATCGTAAGACAAACGGCAAGACTCTGCTATCATTAATAAAGAAAACTCTCCAAATGGCAAGCCACGAACCATTCGATTTTCTACCGGAAATTTCCAGTTTTTCCCAGTAAATGGCAAATACGGTATACCTTGAGATATCTTAGAGTCTTGGAGAACCCGCTTAGAATTCATAGCAGACAGTCCTGTCTATCCAAGCCGTTGATTTTTTTTTTAAAAAAACCTCAAGTTTCGATTTTCGGGAAAAACTGTAAGTTAATTTTCTGGTCTACACGAGCCTGCATTCCCCAAATATGACGGAAAGGTAAAAATTCCCACAGTTAACTGCACTTGGTTTGTCTCAAGAGGTTCTTTCGGCTTTTTCACAAAGTGTTCTTCCAACAGCCTCTCTCAAAATCCAAACTGTTTCACTCATTAGAAAATAATTATTGTGATAGTGATACAAAACGTATGGCAGTTTAACAAAAGAAATCAGTCGATGACTACCGATACCCCTTTGTCAGCGGTTGTGAATCCTCCTTCCTTGATTGCAGAATTTATTCTAGCGATAAGCGTTCTGTACACATTACTCTCACCAGTTCTAATAAAGTGAACGAGAAAAAACAAACATCTGATTCAATACGACAAAGCTCAGTCAGCGAGAGGTTCATAAAGCTGGTTGGCGTTGAAAGTTCTTAAAACTTTCTAGTTGACTACAACGCGAACCCTTTAAGCCTTAGGAGTGACCCGTGTCTAATTTCTCCCTTCCGTAATATACTGCTGACCCGAGATCTCAATAGAAATTGTCCTTACTGTCTGCCATACAATTATTATGATATTAGTTCGAAGAATTTGGCATTAGATCAACTAATTGTCCCCTTATTGATATTTTTCTTTATTCTCATCACTTGTCTGCTTGATATTGTATTGATAATGTAAAAGAGAAATTCTGTGTTGGTCACTTAAGGGAATTAAAGGGTTAAGAGCAGGAGAATAAGGAAATGATCGCCACCAACCTAAGAATCTTTAATTGTTTAACGACTTTTCCTTATCAGTTCCAAAGGAAATGAATAGAGACGAGTAAGGAGAATATGGACATTGATGTTAGGATTTAAAGGGTTAAATGTACCTTTAAGAAATAAAAGCCTAGAAAGTAATAAGCCTGAATAGGCCATTTTACAGTTGTGTACTTAGTTGCCAAGCCTTTGATTCAGAGTGAGGCTGAAGGTGACCTGGTTGTGATAGAGACCTGTATCTACTTAGCATGATAACAAAGTGATTTACATTTCAAAGGCAGCAAGGTTTGTATCATAACAAGGTCAACCCTAGCCTCACTCCCATTCAAAGGCTTGGCAACCAAGCACACAACTGTAAAATGGACTATTGTCAACAGCTTTAATCCAAAATTTATGAACTTGGTCAGCCCGCTTTAGAAAAATCCAGGTTCTCTAGTGTGTCTTGTGTGGGGCGTTTTTGGTGCAACCAAGTTCAAAGTTATGTTATTTTCTTAATTAGGAAGCGTTTTTGAAACGCTAAGAAGTTAGTCTCCTGCAATTGAGCTGTTATTTGATCTCGTTACGTAACGCATTCCCTTACGAGTCTCCTTCGCAGCCGTTGTTTGGTATCGTCACACAACGCACTCTCTCCCCGCAACCAGGTCACATTCCTTTCTCTAGCGTAGCAAATCAGAGCATGGCTCATCTTTTTCTGAGCCAGTCGGGTAGAGACTACTTTTCCAGTGTGTGTTGTGTTTAATCCGGTACCATACATAATTTGCGGACAATTACCTGCAGGTAATCCACGAATTTAAATCTATCAATACTAGTTACAACTCTTTTACAATAATTGCCGGTTTAATACAAGGACTCGGTCCATAAAATCCTCCTCTTTCAAGGTAATTATTCATTTGTCTCAAACATTTTCTCACCTAGTTGCCTCTCGACTTTATTGCATAATGACCACAACAAAGCTGCAGATAAAAATGACGTCGACGTAAGTTGATTTAACATTCCTAAGGGATTTGTTGCATGTGACAAAAAAATAATCCAAAGATAGGCAGTGGTGGAGAGAGAGTGTTGCATGACAAGAACAAACAACAGCTGCCATGGAGAGTACTAAGAAGTAAACTGAATAAGGGTTTATCCCACTTACTTACTTTCTCTCCTCTGTGCAATTGAGACACTTTGCAATCTCACTGGTCACAATGAAGGTTTGAATAGGAACAGAGCTTAGCTTGGTTTTGTCCATAACTCTGGTCAAATCATAGTAGTGTCCAAATGTACCAGATGATGGGGATGACTATGGATAAATTTTAAAAAAATTAAACTGGTTGAAAAATAACCTTGTAGCAGGGCTTGACACTAACTTTTCAACTTACTAGCCAAGTGGCTAATGACATCTTAAATGTCATGGCAATTTCAGTTTGTTTACAAGCCAACTGGCTGGTGGAAATAAAACACCATAAGCCAAAACTGAATTTCTACTAGTCTGTGGCAAGTTGGCTAGCTACTCTTAGTGTCAAGCCCTGTTGTAGTTTGTGATCCTATCAAGCTGTTCATGCAGCAGCAAACATCAGAAAGTTATCCAGCATCTATGCAGAATTCTCTGGCTAAATGTTCAATCATTCTAAACATATAGGTGAAGTGTAAAAGAGTCTACAATAAATTTGCTGGAGTTCACCTACCCCATTTCACCCCCAATATAAAATTGTATTTTCTCCATCTCAATTTTGCAGCAGGAGTGCAACATTTTTCTAGAAAAAAAAGGGGGGTTTTATGAATTGAGTGAGAACTTCCAAATTCAAAAGACTTTATCAGGAACATTTATAACCTCCATAGTGCTTTGTACTTTTCCACTCATTGTGGGAATTTTTTTTATTGGAGCAGCTTGCAGCTGAACTGATCAAATGGCAGGAAGCTTGATGAAGACAAAACCATCCAGATTAGGAACTGACCTCAAACTTTGGTTGATTCTGATATCTCCAAGCAATCTTCATGGACTGATTTGGTGAAGAACCTTCCCCTGGTTCATGTGCACTATGAGCAGATGATTTGCTTTCTTTATTGTCAACTTGCTGTGGTAGATCCTGGAACAAAGAAGGAAAAATCAACAGTCAAGGATATTCTCTTTTCTTTTTCTTATCTCAAATTACACCTGGATGACTCTTTGGTTGCTTTGATGAAATCATTTCAGTTCCTGAAATAAAAAATTTGAAAACACCCCTTCTCCAAACAAGCACACCTCTAAAATATCTTGAGAAGGATTGAGTCATGGAATTATGATACAGGAGGTGTAAATGATACTTTTAAGAACTATGATGTAAACAGTACAGAACTCGTTATTTAATCCCATAAGTGTTGACGAAACGTGCAAATGATACTTTTAAGAACTATGATGTAGACGGTGCAGAACTCATTCTTTAATTCCATAAGTCTTGACGAATTAAAGTCTCTTATCCTTAAGAAAACTATTCATAAGATTAATACTAGGTGCACAATGCTGACAAGTTTTTGTGTCTAACATATTTAATCATAGTCAACAGTTTCTTGTTGTTACATTGCTTTTTGGAAAATCATTAGAAATAAATCCACGTTATTTTGAGGTTGAAATTTGAAAAATGGAACAGACACCCCTCTTTCAATTAGTAGTCCCAGTATCCCTTCAGAAAATTAAATATCAGGCATCATAGGAGCTTATTTCGTTATTTAATGTATGTTATGAAAACAAGGCCTCTAAGTGGAAATTATTAACATAAACAGAGGTGTTAGTTACCATCAAAATATTATTGGGTTCTGGTTCAGCAGATGCCAAGAAGATTGAGTGACCTGATATCACTCCTTCAGCCAGAAAATACTTTGAAAGTTGTCGTGCATAAGAACCATAAGTGTCTTCTTCTAAAGAGAAGAAAACAATAAGGAATATTTGATAAACAGGATAAGTAAACAAAAGTTTTCAATCTCGAAAGTTTATCAAAAGCAGTGAAAAAAAAAAACCCAAATGACTTTCTATTGACACTCCTAATAAAATGATTAGTTTTTTACAGCTACAGATTCCCAGTAAAAAAATTATTTTTCAATGAGTGATTCAACTCGTTACACCTTAACATCAGTATGCATATTCTCCATACTGTTCTAAATTAAATTCCTAAGGTAGTGACAAGGAGAAATTGTTTTTAAATGATTAAAAGCTTCTTTAACTGCTGATCATTTCCTTAATTCTCATGACCTTAATGTGTGATTCACAGATTATCTTGTAAGGAGAAATTGTATACTTGTCACTCTCAAATTCTGGTCAAAGGGTTAACATCTATGGTGGGGTAATGACTATATTCCAGAGTATTGTATGTCTTGTTTGAAAATCCAAAATGGACTTAAGCAGTATCCAAAGAGAGAATTTTAAATGATATATTTCAAATGAATGGTTCTCCTTTTCAAGTTTTTCTTCTTTCAGTTGTAATGCAAGATATCTGTTAGTGTACAATGTAACAGTTTTTGTTTGGGTAAAATTGAAGAACAGCTCCCCAAAATATGTCAGCCAACTGTTGGCAAACGAAACACAGAAAACACAACGAAAACATAACAGAAACACAATGAAAACACGGGCTCGTGCAATTTTGGGAGTCTTCGAAAAAATTTACTCGTATTGCTTAATCTAAGTAACTAAACTCTTCCAATTTCAGCGGAACGAAATGTGTCAGTCAGATACTACACAACAAGTTCACATAAATGAAGATCAATAGGGCCAATAATGCCTCGCACTCAAAATTTACCTCTATCGTGTGGTATTCGTCAAAATTAATTTTGAGGTAATTGTGAAAGTTCAAACTTACCAAGATGACAGTCTATTTACTCGTTTCTGAATTTGTTTTCATTGTGTCGGCCAACTGTCAGTGATCAGTCAGCTGACAGTTGCCCAACACATATTTTGGGGAGCTGTTATGTTTTTGTTGTGTTTTCCATGTTTCGTTCGCCAACAGGCGGCTGACAGTCGGCCGACAGATATTTTGGGGAGCTGTTCTTCAATTTTACCATTGTTTGGGATTATAATGACAACAGAGTAATAATAATAATAATAATAATAATAATAATAATAATAATAATAACTTTATTTTTATCCTGGTAAGAAACCGGTCAGTCAATCAAGATATAGATCGACTGGTATTAATCAGTGACCAGTTGAAAAGAATTACAAGCAATAAGAATTACAATTACAAATCTAAAATGTATAAATTATATATAAAAATTACATTTAACTTGTACAAATATGATTTACGCTGTCCGTGTTTACGAGGTAAGTGAAAGTTCTGCCTTTAAATTGTGCGAGTGTTGTGGGCTCCCGAATCTCTCTTGGCAGTTTGTTCCAGGCACTCGCAGCCGAAAACTTAAATGAGGTCTGTCCACATTTGGTCTTAACTTGTGGTAGATCTAATAATGTTGGATCTCTAAACCCTGTCAACTGCTTAGGGCAGTTGATGTTGTTAATTATCTTGTAAACATACTGTAGCTTGATGAAAAGGCATCTACTGTGAAGTGATAATAGTTGTAATTTGGTGCGCATCTCCTGAGTACATGTCTTATGGTCAGCATGCAATATTATTCACATTACTTGGTTTTGCAGGCGCTCTAAACATCGGGCATTCTCTTTGCTACATTCGCCCCATACAACACAACCATAGTCTAACAAAGGTAATACATATATGTGAACGATCCTTCGCAGTAAAGCACTATTTGAGCAATAGTGAAAATCAGACCTGAAAAAAATTTCAGGCCTGTACGGTAATACAGTCTGCTTGTAGATTCTGAGCAAAATATCGCAACTAAGAAAGGATGAAATTCTGTTAAGCAGTTTTAGTTTAGGGTAAACCCTAGATTGTATATAGGCTACATGTTTGCTCCATGTTAGACAATGATCGAGGTAAATTCCTAAGTACTTCCTACGTACTCTCTTAAGACTGTCTTCTCACTTTATTCTTAACCCTTTAACTCCCATCAGTGACCAAGACAGAATTTCTCCTTACATTATGAAGACAATACCAATTCCTAAGTACTCTGAGAACTGAAAGGGTGAAATATATATCTTATTAACCAAGCACGAGGGCCGTACTGGGAGAATATCGGCTCGAGGTCTTGACAGTACGGACTGAGCGCAGTGAGGTCCGTACAAAAAAGACTGAGGGCAGATATTCTTCCAGTACGGTCCCGAGCAAGCTTGGTTAATAAGAGATTTATTATACGACTGAAGTTAAAAGCGACACAAGTGCGGTATCATTCGGGACAGTGCCCGGTCCAATACTTAGAGAATATTGACCGGCAATAGAGCATTTTGATTGGTTGATTTTAGTTATTGGCCCTCTGACTGCCCGAGTCGTGTAATAAATTCAATTATTCAGTGAGCACATGGTTTTTATTCAATAATACTCTTAAGACTGTCTCCTCACTTTATTCTTAACCCTTTAACTCCCATCAGTGACCAAGACAGAATTTTTCCTTACATTATGAATACAATACCAAGCAGAAAAGTGATGAGAATTAAAGAAAAATATCAATTAGTGGATTATTTGTTGATCTAATACCAATTTTCTGTGCTAACTTCATAAGAATTGTACAGCAGATGGTAAGGATAATTCTCAAAGAGATCCTGGGGGGGGGGGGGGTGAAAGGGTTAATCATGACTAAAAAGACTACCAGCCACACAGCCTGGCAGCTGCTTCATAAGGGAACCAGTTAAATGGGATGTATGACAGCACACATTCAATCGATGGCCAAATTCAGCTTTAATGTAGAACCAGTTGAGGCAAACGTATTAACTAAGAAACACAGTTACTTTACTTGTTCAAACTAGCAATCTGTTCTTGTCAAATACCTGGTCAAGAACTATCAGGAAATTAATATAAGTGGAAATTATCTGAAGGACTAAAAATTCGAATTTTGATTTTTAAAGCTGACTAATGTATGATCTGTAATTTACCCTGAAAAATAAGTTGAGCGGACAACAAGGTGTATAAGAAATAAGATAGGAGCAAACAGACATACAATACCTACCAACCATAAAAACGGTGCCTACAGCTATTCCACCTCCTGGAAAAAAAAGTTTCATCGCGTCTAGCCTCTGCGAAAAACTTAGCACTAAAAACGTTTACTAGTATTATTATTCTTTATTATTATTGTTTGTGTCATACAAGTGAATTCCTAAGATTGGCCAAAGCCAGAGGCTTAAATGACTTATGGTCAGAGACAAAGACTAATTTTTCAAAGAACAATAGACTAATCTAAGGTATTCTAATCTAATCTAATCTAATCTAATCTAATCTAGGTAATAAACAATAATCGGGGTATATTAGAAGTTCAGTATAATGTTCATAAATTTGCAAAGAGTAGTAGATTAATCTAAGCATAGTTAATCGAGGGGTCCCCTCGATTAACTATGATCTAAGTAGTAAACAATAGTCCAAGGCGATTGAAAATATGAGAAAACAAAACCTTATCACAGTAATAATATGATGTTTCCATAAGAGATTTTCATGAATTATAATTCCAAGAAATGTACATTTCTCCACCCGGGTTACAGGAGTGTTATTTATATAGATGTTAACTTTGGAGAGATCAATCTGTTTACGCCGTGGATGGAAGATAATGCATTTGGACTTGTCAGGGTGGATAGTAAGCTTGTTCGCA